CGCTACGCGTTTGAATATAAGACACGCTACGCGTTTGAATGTAAGACACGCTACGCGTGCCCCCTGCAGGATAGGCTCTCGCAGGCTTTATTGGGTTCTTGGGGCCCTCGTAGGCTCTCTTGCGTTCTTGGGGCCATCATGGGCTGCCTGGGGCACTCCGCACTTCGCTTTGCAACGATATGCTATGCAATTCAACGCTTGGCCGTGGGCTGCCTTGGGGCCACCTACCATAGGCCGTCTTGGGGGCAGCATAGGCTGTCTTGGGGCCACAATGGGCTGTCTTGGGGCTATCATGCGCTGTATTGCAGCCACAGTGGGCCGTCCTGGGGCAATCGTAGGCTGTCTTGGGGCCACCGTAGGCTGTCTTGGGGCCAGCACAAGCTGTATTGGGGCCATCATGGGCTGTCTTGGGGCCACAATAGGATGTCTGCTCCTCCCCCTCCTCCTCCCTCCTCCTCCCCCCTCCTCCTCCTCCTCCTCCTCCCCCCCCCTCCTCCTCCCTCCTCCTCCTCCTCCTCTCCTCCTCCTCCTCCTCCCCCTCCCTCCTCCTCCCCCCTCCTCCTCCTCCTCCCTCCCCCTCCTCCCTCCTCCTCCCTCCTCCGCCTCTTCCCTCCTCCTCCCCCTCCCTCCCCCCCCCTTCCCCCCCCCCCCGCCCCCCGCGCCTTCTTCATCACCCTCGGGCCTCCGCCAAGTAGGTGCGCGGATTACTATGGTCAACCTGCGGCCCCCCCAGAGTAGGCACTTAGACTATTCGCGCGTTCGCCGAAATCCGAACACTGAATTAAGTATTAGTTAAACTAGTATTTAAATAGTCGGCGCACTATGTTTACAATAGTTTAAATATTATTTAATTCGGGGTGTTCCTGTTCCCGCGGGCGCCCGTTCCGCGCGAATGGTTGGCGTTCATATGTTTTGTTGGTTGGTGGAGGCAGGCGTGCTTCACCGCGCTTTACAACGGCCGAGATTATCAGGCTACGCTGCGATCGGGGATTATGTTTTGGCTAGTCCTGGGCTACGTTTTATTGCGTTGGCTATGCCAGGAAACTGCCAGGATTATGCGTTGACTATTCGGGGGCTATCTTTTGATTATTATGGGATTATGTTTTGATTATTATGAGAGCATGGTTTCATCATGGTTGTTGCGTGTAGTCGCTGCGTTTTCGCTCGCGTGGCTCAGCAAAACAAAGCGTTTGATCTAGTTGCAAGACTCAACCATGAGGGCATTGTTTTTTGTTCATGTTTTGATTATGTGTTTGGTTCTTGTTTGATAGCAACATTGCTTTATATCATCAAAGACCTGGAGGTTTGCGCGCATGCCCCCCATCTGCCCGCGCGCGCTAAGCACCCCCCCCCCCCCCCCCCTCCCCCCCCCCGCCCAGGCGTGTTTGTGCACCGACTACTTTTGCATTAAAATGTTTGAAGGTATGGCTTTGCCGTCGTAGCCCACATGGGCGATGGCAGCATTGCGCATTGGCGTGTGTTTTGAAATTTTCTAAACGGGGGGCAATTCTGGAGGCTGAAGCTTCCCTTCTGCATCGAAAGACCCCCCCTTCCCCCCCCCCGCCCCTTTCCCCCCCCCCGTCCCCCAATCAAATCAAATATCGTTTAACGGTTCCGCGCTTCCCCCGCCCAGCATCGCGCGCCCCGTCCGCCGCCTTGCCATGCCCACCACGACCCACTGCTTCCCCACACACACACACACACACCACCACCACCCCACGCACGCACACACACACACACCACCACCACCACCACCACCACCGCCACCACCACCACCACCACCACCACCACCCACACACACACCACCACCACCACCACCACCACCACCACCACCACCGCCGCCGCCGCCACATCCACCCGCCCCGCCGCCCCAACCTTTTCTATTGGACAAGCGGTAGAACGCCCGTCTTTCCACGATCCCGCAAAATCCTAGTCCAAAGTCCATGTCGCCCAAACATGTGCCAGTGGCCCGTCTAGGGTCTCGGGCCGGAGGGATGTATGATATATGCGATGGGTGTTATGCTGTGGCATCATTGTGATTGCCATTGCATGGAGCCTTTGCTTCGTCGAGAGGGCTCGGCGAGAGGCATTGCTGCTCCGCCCTGCCGAGGGAGCTCGTGGGCCCACTGATTCTGTGCAACGAGCAACGCCTTCAGAAATTAAAGAGTTCCAACTCCGTGCTCCCACTTATCGCACGCTACGCGTCAGCATATGAGACGCGCTACGCGTGTGAAAATGAAACATGCCACGCGCTTGAATATATGACACGCTACGCGTTTGACTATAGGACACGCTGCGCGTTTGAGTATATGACATGCTACGCGTTTGAGACCAATACAATGCCATATATGTTGCCGGGTGCAGGGTGGGCGAGGAAGAACGCGCAGCGCTTGGCGAACTCTTGGCCCGTCCTGGGCTCAACGCTATGCGGTGACCTGTTCCAGAAGTACGCCCAGGGGCGCCCGCCGCACGGCCGCCCCAGTGCCGACGACCCGTGTGATGGGGTGGGTCGCGATGGGCGCTGGTTGGGCGTCTTGGGCGTCTTGGGACCAGAAAACACCAACACAACATGTCAGCTTGCCGCTGCTGCGTCGGGTATTTCTTACCGCTGCTGCGTCGTGTATAACATCAACAACAACATAGTGCCGCTGCTGCGTCGGGTATTCCTTACCGCTGCTGCGTCGGGCATTCCTCTTGGGACCAGAAAGCACCAACAACACCATACCACAACAACACTTACCCAGCAACATAATACCAATAACACCAACAACATAACACAACAACACCAACAACAGCATACTGGACCAGCAGCACCAACCAAACAACATCATAATGCACCAACAGCAACGTAACACCAACAACACCAACAACACCAACCCAACAACATAATACACCAACACAACAAAACAATACAAACAACACCAACAACAACATTACACAATCTCACATCACCTCATGTTGCCATTTACTCTCAGGCGTTAAAGTTCCGACATTCGAGGAACCCCAACCAACCAGCCTGCGATTGCTAGCCCAGCTTGCAATGGGCCGTGCACCAGCAACGATCACTGCGAAGGAGGCGCAAAGACTCAAGCAGACCATCAAGCGGCTCGAGCATCGCTTGATCAGCAAGCAGAGGCAGAAGCATTGGTGGATGATGAGGGCCGTGCATTTGTCGAAGAGGGTTCAGAGGATTTCAAAGCTCGTGGGGGAAGTTGCCAGTGAGGACACCCGGTTGGAGACACTTCAGAGGAAGGCCAACGCGAAGAAGCGTTAAGCACTGAGCTGGGTCATTTATGTGCTGCTGTTGCAAGTCCCCTCCATCTTGCTCTCAGTTTCTCAACCTACCTTTTCTTCTGGACCGCCCTTCCGCTGTTTCGCACCCTCGCCCAATCCACCATTGCCCTCTCCCTGCGCGCCCTCGTTAATCTCGCAGTCAGCTGCTCGCAACTCCACCGCCAGCGCGAGATCAGTCAAGAGTTGTAAGCCGACGTGTCGCCCTCTTGTCTAGCCGACGAAAGCTTGCCCCCGCCCTCGACCGCCCCATGCACTGTGCGATTGCCCTGCGGTTGCTTTGAGTATGCTGTGAAATGCTACGGCCCCCCCATTTGCAGGCTAAGCTATGCCGTGAAAATCTGATTTGGGGAAATACGACGACGACGACGATCCACAAAAATTTGGTTCGGGGAAATACGACGTCGACGACGACGACGACTGCGACGATCCACAAAAATCTGGTTTGGGGAAATACGACGACGACGATCCAAAGAAATCTGATTTGGGGAAATACGACGACGACGATCCAAAGAAACCGTCGTCGTGGATCGTCGTCGTCGTCGTATTTCCCCAAACCAGATTTCTTTGGATCGTCGTCGTCGCATTTCCCCAAACCAGATTTTTGTGGATCGTCGCAGTCGTCGTCGTCGTCGTCGTCGTCGTCGTATTTCCCCAAACCAGATTTTTGTGGATCGTCGTCGTCGTTTGCTATGTGCTATGCTATGCTGGGATACTAAAGTTTGCAGCCCATGTCTACGCTATGAGATGGTATGGCCCGATACGCCGTGCTACGATATAGCGTGATATGCTGTGGACTGCGCTATGCTATGCCCAATGCTATGGTATGATATGCTTTGTGATATGCTATGCTACGATGTGCAATGCTATGGTATGATATGCTGTTTGCAATTGTATGTGCTATGCTGTGCTATGCAATGCTACGATGTGCAACGCCATGCTATGCTACGATGTGCTATGATATGCTACGCCGTGCTTCCCCAATCCACACCACCCAGTCTCCCTCTCCGTTGCCGCTGACAGGACCAAGGAGGTTTCACGTGAGATGTGCAAAACTTCAACCCACCTGGTGCCAGGTGGCACTAAGAGTCGGCTCGCCCCAAGCGCTTGGGATGGCGGGACAGGCGGAGCAGAAGCGTAAGCAGCGGGGCTCCGCGGCTTCTTCGGCAGGAGGTTCGAGGCTGTCGGTTCGAGCTGGGGGGCCTCCTGGCACGACGAAGCACTGCGACTTGTGCTTGGGGCCCCCCCAGGGGCCCAGTCTAGGGAGAAAATCAAATCCATATGGCTCCTCCATACTACCCATGCACTAGTCCGCTTTTGCCTCCGACCTCTTGCGCGCCCTCCCCCCTCTCATTTTTACCGGAGTAACGCCCCCCCCCCCCCCCCCCCCCCCTTCATTTCTACAGGACTAGCGCCCCCCCCCCCCCCCACCCACACACACATACACACACCACACACACACACACAGCACACACACACACACACACACACGCACGCACGCACACACACACACACACACACACACACACACACACACGCACACGCACACACATACACATACACATACACATACACATACACATACACATACACATACACATACACGCACACGCACACACACAGAGAAAGCGTCATGGCCCCACGGGGTGGGGGGGGAGGGGGCAGTTGGAGCGTGTTGTCTCAATGCTTGACCGTCCAAGGATGTGGAGATGAAGGTGGACGCGGACGGCCCCCTCGAGCACTTCACGCTGGGGCTCAAGATCTGCAAGAGGTGCTTCAACTTCTGCGACGAATGCTTGCCTGGCACCCCCGTGCCAGAGATCTGTGAGATGACGCGGGCTGAAGATAGCGAGGACATCAAGGGGGCGTTGGACGCCTTCGACAACGAGAAGAAGGTAGAGGAGCTCAACGCCCGTTCGTTGACAGGCCATCGCGAGGACGCCCGCGGAGCCGAGCTGCACGTGAAGCACCTCGCTTTGACAGCGAAGGAAGTGCAGAATGAATACAACAAGCCGCCCAAGACCCTCGGCATGGTGGCCTACGACATGGGAGCGACTGGCATGGATCTGATCTACTTCGTGAAGTGCTGCCCTGAGCTGGAGGGCAAGTGCCCCGTCATCAAGATTTACTTGGTGAGCGGCCAGGTCGTCCAAGAGTCCGCGTTTAGAGGGCCTAACTTCAGCCTCTTTCCTGGGCACTCCAGCCGTCTCAGGATGGGCCTCGCTCGCTTGCACACTTCGGGTTCTGGTGGTGGAGGGCAAGGCACGGGCTGCCGTCGAGCCGGTGCCTTGGACGCCCATGTCACGTCTCACAGCGTCGTCTAGGAGAAGGCCGACCAGATGAAGCTGAAGACCAGCCAGAGGAAGGGCCCGAACAAAGGCCCAGACGCGCCTGGAGGCATCTACAACGAGGACGGCGACATGGACGGGGGGAGCGACGCCGTGGACGACGACGTGGAGGGGATTAGCGACGCCGAGACCCTCCGCCTGGGCGGCGCGCCGAGCGGCGCTGCCTCTTGCGCTTCGGGCCCGACTGGCACCGCGCCTTCCACGGTGACGAAGAGGGCTCGGGATTCAGAATCCCACCTCTCCAGTTCGGGTAAGGAGTTGAAGCCAGAGGAGGAGGAGCCGAACCCGCACCAGGTGGGCTCCTACCAGCACTGGCTTCACGAGCTCAAGTTCGAGAAAGCGCTCGACGGAGACTCCCTCGGAAGACAAATGCGACAGTCCAAGGATAAGTTGCCGAAGCTGCCCGACGACCAGAAGACGATCCCCAGCAGGAGGTTGGAACTGGCAGAGAATGCGGTCAAGCTCAGCAACCAGAAGCTGCACACCATGAAGGACGAGGAGTTCACGTCTCTCTGGGCGCTTTTGAAAAAAAGGCGGTTGCAGGATGACCATGAAGTTTCGGATTGCGTTGCACCGTAGGCACGCCTACAATCTCTGGGAGCGCGTGCTTTCGAAGGATTCGCCCGACCTCGACAAGGACGTCAGCTCGTTGATCGATCCAGCGGTATTGTGGCATAAACCATCTCAGAAGCAGGAGCTGGTAAACAAGTTCGACCCCCTTAAGCCCACGCTGCTCGGCATCGGCGCCGGCGACAACAAGGCGGCCCAGGTGTTCATGGAGCCCCTGTTCGGCAAGAGCTTCCTGAAGATCATCGAGATGGGCGAGGATGGAGACACCATCATCAAGGAGTTGTCCGAGACGGCTTGCCGTCTTTGGCCCCTGACAGAGGATGCCGAGATAGGCGACGTATCTGCCGCCGCCCACGTGGAGGCGATGAAGGTTCTCGGCGCCCTGGCGAGCGCGATGGACACCGGCGTCGACGCGGGCGCGGACTTCGACGCGGTGTCCGAGGCCAAGGAGTTCGAGGCGGAAGCGTACAAGACTGACGGTTGAGCGGACACGAACACTCGGCTACTGATGCCCCTCCGACTCCCAGCTTCCCTCCTCTCCCCCGAGGGGGAAGGGCGGAAGAGGGGTGGGGTCTGGGGCATCAGGCAAGCCGGGTGCTTCTGTCCTGGCAGGTTGTGATCGGCCCATGAACATCGTCTCGGTGGCTTGCAGTAAGAACAAGACGCGGGGCCAGGATCACGTCGAAGCTCCAGTCGAGCGAGCTCATGGTCGAGCACGGCCCGAAGATCAAGACCGCACTCCTGGAGATGAAGGGGCTGCCCGAGGGCCTCTCTTCCGAGGCGGCAAAGGTGCTGGACAGGATCAGCAACGACGCGCCGTGCTGGGAATCCGTCCTGCCCAAGGAGGCTTCGGGCATCGCGAAGGCCGAGTTGAGGGATCAGACCTTGAAGCGAGCGAACGTGCTCATCGAGGTGGGCGCTGATGGGAAGCCGGCCTGCGGTCTGATAAAGGCCACTCGTGATCTCCGCTTGTCCGAGTACATGGGCTGCGTGAAGAACGTGGCGAAACTGTTCCCAGGAGATCCTGGCTTCGCTCGGGTGCTGCTTTCGATTTCGAGGGCCCTCTCTGAGATGGACTTGTCGTCGAAGTTCCAGATCCTGCAGGACGCGGCGAACGGTTGGGTCCCCGACGCCGACAGCGCCATGAAGTTGAAGGACGCCGCCAATGCCTGTGCGAAGAAGGACTTGCCCAAGGAGGTCACTGCTGCGGTCGAGGGACTGCTGGTCAAGGTCTACACGGCCATTAAGGAGTGCGGAGCATCTCAGATCCTTCCAGAGACGCACAATCAGGAGCCCATCCACGCCAACGTCATGGCGACCTGCGCCGAGAAGCTGGGGCAGCACAAGTTCGTCAATATGGCAGAGGTGCTCCGATCCGCTTGGAGGCTCCAGAGTTTCGCGTCCAAGCTGGACACCGGCGTCCAGAGCCAGAACGAGGACCTCGACAAAGCGCTGCGGGAGGCGCACCGCGCCCTCCAGAAGACATCGCAGGACATGAGTGCCATGGCATCGTACCGGGACTCGTCCGACGAGATGATGGAGAAGAAGTTGAAGGAGATCCACGCGTCTGCCGAGGCATCGACTCAGAGGGCTGGCGCCGTCCTCCGCCAGCCGCACTTGGACGCGGCCACCGCCTCGGCCGAGACCTTGCGCACGGAGATCGAGAAGCACCCGTCGACCAAGGAGTGGAAGAAGGCCATGGAGGAGTGCACGACGACGGACGAGCTTAATCTAGAGTTCCCGAACAGCTTCATGGGGGCGCCCGTGCAGACGTGGAAGGGCCTGGCCGACGACATACACAGTGCGCTTGGCGACGCGCAGAAGAAGACGAAGGATTTCGACCTGGCGCCGATCGAAAAGGATATCAATTTCGGCAACCAGGTCAAGGTCATGGCCCGCATAGCCTACGTCACGCACGCGATGATGACGAATGTTACCGATAAGGGCCTGCTGCGCAACCTCATGGAGATGAGGTAGAGGATGCGCGAGATCCAGACGACGCTGCGCGAGTGGGAGACCGTGCCGGGCGTGATCAAGAGCACGTGCCTCCTGCAGAGCTACACGAACGCTCTCAAGATGAAACCCATCCAGAGCCGCCCGCAGGCCTCGGCAAACAGAAAGCAGCAAGCAGCAAGCAGCCCCCAGCAAGCAGCAAGCGGCAAGCAGCGCCAGCTAGCAAGCGGCAAGCAACAAACAGCGCCAGCAGGACCAGCCGACACGAGCAACGCCCGGCCCCTTTTCCCCGCCCCGTCCGAGAATGTGGCGCAGGAGGATGAGGAGGTGTGAGAGGAGGGCGAATATAAGGAGGGGGGAGGGGGAGGAGGAGGAGGAGGAGGAGGAGGAGGAGGAGGCACCCTAAAAGGACCAGAGGCGATAAGAGCTCGGGGCCCAGAGTGGGACCCCCCCACGCAGGTTTGGGGGCCTCGCGGCAAGCGCTGCGAGGCCAGCGCGGGACCAGCCACTCGTGCACGACGAGTGGCACAAGTTCGCAGGGAGATTGAGAAGAAGAAAATGGGGCTGAGCCCAAATGAGTGAGTTGGACAAGTGAGTTGGACCCAAGTGAGTTGGTACAAGTGAGTTGGACCTAAGTGAGTTGAGTCTAAGTTCCAAGCGAGATGGTACGTGACGGAGTGTTCATCTGAGTGAGTTGGGTATAAGCGGATTGAGTCCAGGTGAGTTGGGTCCACGTTGCGTCCAAGTGGGGTGCTCCTGTGAGTTGGGTCCTCGTTCGTACTTTTTCCAGTGGCTTGCGCCGTTTCGCCGACCCCCAGAAGGAGCGACAGCTTGCGACGATCGCGGAAGGCATCCAGTGGGCCAGGAACCTCTTGGATGCATGTGGAGGCTCTTGGGATGATCCTCGCTTCCCTCACCTTCCCCCTGCCCTTGCTAGCCCTCTTCCCCCGTCAATGGCCTCTTTTCCCCCTCCTACTCCTCTCTTGTCTTGCTACCCTGATATATCTAGAGGCCTCCGGCCAATCCCGCTACCGTGCCTGGGTTGTGGGTCACAGCCCTCTTGGATGCATGTCAGGGTCTCTTGGGATGCATGTCAGGGTCTCTTGGGAAGCCTTTGGGAGCCCTATCTGGGCTTCTTTGGGGTTTTCTGGGGCCTCTTGGGGTCTCCTTCTGGCTTCTTGGGGGTTCTAGGGGCTTCTCGGCTGCCTCGGGTGCGCATGCGGGGACCATTCGGGGCCATCTTGGAGGGGGACACATTCGAAATTTCAGTCGTCGCCCCCCCCTCTTGGGCCCCTCTTGGGCCCTCCCTGGGGCCCTCGTGTACCGTTATGGGGGCCCCCTTGGAGCTCTCTTGTGCCCTCTTGGGCCGTCTTGGGGCGTAGTGGGGAGGCTTCTCAAGCCCTTTCGGTTCGTTGGAATCCCGAAACGGCGCCCATGCGAAACCAATTCAAACACATAATGCTTTTCGGTCCGCGATAATGGCAGCTCACCGCTAAGAATTGCTGCTGCAGGATACCAATTGGGATTTTCAAAGACTTTTCTTCCTGCTCCGAGTGGGAACCATGTTGGGTTAGCTAAAGATTCGTCGAAAGATCGTCATAATTCAGACGCGAATACTCATGAGTTCCCCACGGTTAGCATACGAGACGCATGTCGTGTGTATTTGCCCGTGGGCAGTTCGAACTGAAACGCGCGCTACGTGTTCCTCGCATGTTCGCCAAGGAAAATCATAAATACTAATTGTTGCGTTTTGAGTATTTTAAAAGTATTCTTGGACTATTCCAACATGGCTTCCACATAATCGCGGGAGACTATGTTTAGACTATGTTAATTGGTTTCCTGCATGAGCAATTCCTAGTGGCTTGTTGCCATTGCAAGCCTAGGGCCGACGAGGGGCCCAAGGCTTTGTAGGCCCCACGGGTCCCTCGGGCGCCCTACCGCCCCGCCCACAGACAGAACCAGCAGCAATACAGGACGCTGACAGGCGCCCATATTCCCAGACCGGTGTTTTTTGCGTTGACGCCGACCTGCTGCCGAAGTCGCTCGCACGTTCCTCCTCCACTTCCTCTTCCTCCTCCTCCACTTCCTCTTCCTCCTCCTCCTCCTCCTCTTCCTCCTCCTCCTCCTCCCTCTCCTCCTCCCTCCGTCCTCGCGCGCATCCGTTTCCAGATGCCCCTCGTCAACCCCCTCTCGCTTTCCCCTTTGCTCTTTCCCCAGTGAGTCCCCCGACGGGCGCACGATGCGAGACAGCCTGACCGTACTTCGACTGCTTCGCTGCCTTTTCACCCGCGATTCTTTGGCAGACTGAGCATGCACCTCGCGTTCATGGCCTCTTGGTGGCGGAATGGTGCGGCCCTGCCGGCGACGGGCGCAGGCTCCTATGCTTTGCAGCCTCTTGTTGTTGCTCCTCCTCCTCCTCCCCCTCCTATTCCTCCTCCTCCTCCTCCTCCTCAGCGCCGCGGCGTGGGTGGCCCCGAAAGGGCGCTGGCACTGGACCCTCGTGGACGACAGGCTCCCGTCCCTCGGAGGCAGCTTCAACCACAGGACCCGAGCATGGCTGCACGGCGAGAGGAGGGGGCGGAGGGGGAGGAGGAGGAGGAGGAGGAGGAGGAGGAGGAGGAGGAGGAGGAGGAAGAGCAGGAGGAGGAGGAGGAGGAGGACGAGGAGGAAGAGTCAGAGGAGAAGGAGGAGGAAAAGGAGGAGGAGGAGGAGGAAGAGTCAGAGGAGGAGGAGGAGGAGGAACAGGAGGAGGAGGAGGAGGCAGGGGAGGAAGGGGAAGGAGGAGACACAGCGTTGGCATACGAAGTGGTGGAGAGCCTGACTGTGGATGTTGGAGCCGGCCAGGGGGTCTGAGAATGCCCGGCACTGGCTCCGGCGAGCAAGACGGAGAGAAAGGTTCGAAGCTCTGGGTTCGACAACTTGATGTTGCCTTTTGATCAGTTTCAGGGAGCCGTTTTCAGGCCCTGGGACCGTCAAGAATTGCGCTGGATGAATCCGGGTAGGGGTCCGGAACCAATTCTGGGCGGATTTGCAGTTATCATTTTTTTGTTTGACCGATTTCCCCAGGGCCCATCCAGTTCATAGCCTCGAGCGCCCCCAACGGGACAGTAGATGTAGAAAAAGAACGGTACCGGTGCCCGCGTCCCCCTCCCCTCGATGTCAGTTCTGATCTCAATACGGTTTGTGATTTTGGGGTACGAGTATGGTCGTCCAGTCAAGCACCCCTCTTTGCCACGCCGCCAGCGTCAAAGCGGGGGTCGGGGGGGGCATCTTGAACCGCAGGTTGCGATTTGGAGTGGAGGACCCGATCGGGCAGGGCCAACGGGCGCCGATACAACAGCACGCACAGAGCATCGCTGCGAAGGGGTCGGCCCTCCCATTTCCAGCTAGCTCGGCAGCACCGAGCGCAGCTGGAGCCAGAGCGGTTGCAGAGGCGGTTGAAGCTTGCTGCAGTTCTTCTGCGGCCTCAGAGGCAGTTGTTGACGCTCGACGGCATTTCTTGATGCTCAAGCTCTCCTGCCATGCACGTGCGCTGCTTGGTTCCTGAAATATCTCCCGACCTGGCTTTGAGTCCGATGGCAGGCGCATTCTGGTGATCTGGGCGCCGCACTGCGCATCGCCAGTTCTCAGCTTGCTTTCTCCTCCTCCCGTTCCCCAGCCCTCAACAGGTGCCAAAAGTTTCTCTCCGATGAGCTGCACCCCGTCCGGACCTTCTCGGACCTCATCTCCCCCATGCGCATCCCGCTCCTCCTTCTCCTGCTCCTCCTCCTTCACCGCCTCCTCCTCCTCCTCCTCCTCCTCTCCCTCTTCCATCCCCACTCCTCCGAATCACCTCCTCACAATCGCAACCCCAGAGATGTCGGTAGGGCGGTTTGGGCGGTTCGCCTGAGATCCCCTCACCATGTGTGATCTTGAAGTTTGAAGTTCGCTTCACGGATGGGAGGTGGGCCGTCTTTGGAATATGGTTTTCTCCGTAGCGCCGCACACATTCATTTTAAATGCTTGCAACCAATTCACGGATTCAGGGCGGGTGGTTTCAAATGCGGTTCTCGCCTTAACACCGTGCGCATTCGTCTTCACATGTTGAAGCATTTTCATGGATGGAGGGCGGGTGGTTTTCAAAATGTGGTTATCGTCTTAGCGTCGCATGCAGTTGTTTTCAAAGTTTGCAGCAGCTTCACGGATGGAGGGAGGGTGGTAATGTGGTGATCGTATTAGTTCCGCGCACGTTCGCCTTAATAGTTTGCAGCCGTTTCAAGGGTTCGTGGTTGAAATCCCAAGAACCTTGTTCTGGCACGATTTAGGACGGTCAGGGCGCAACAGTCACGTTGATTCGCTGTGCTGAAGTTCCAGGAACGGCTGTCTGGCCCGACTTAGGACCGGTCAGAACGCAGCCGTCATGCTGCTTCGTGGCTCCAGAGTCTTGCAATTCGGTGAATATCTTGTTGGTGAAATGTGGGGGTGGGTGGGTGGCTTCGTGGTTGGGGCGCGGGTCGCTCTAGCTGTCCGTTCAGACGACAGCCCACCCTATGGGACGGGGCCCGTGGGTGGGGTTCCTAGCATTGCAATCACGCTTCGCTTGCAAATGGGTGTAGTCCGCCTGCGCGTGCATGCCCGAGCGAGCCCGACCCCGAGCATGATCCCAAGCCCGAGCTTGAGATTGAGCCCAAGCCCGAGTCCGAGCGCGAGCCCGAGCCCGAGCCCGATCCGATCCTGAGCGCGTGTGTGCGTGTGCGCTTCCGATCTGTTGAATGCGATCCAAAACAATCACTAGCTACCATATTGATCCTGAGCGTTTGCGCGTGCGTTTGCGCGTCAATCCGTGTGCGCGTGCGTGTCAACATGCGATCAAGATAAAGGCTGCCAACAAAATTCACCTGACTGTTGGAGTTGTGTTTTGGCACGTTTGGGGATCATCAAACGGTTGTCTTCCAATGGGGCATTTCCCGCAATGAATACACGTCCTTGTAGGTGCATGCTGCGCTGTGTTGCATCATCGTTGATGCGTCTTGTGTTTGCACTGGTCCTCCTCCTCATCATCATAATCCATCACCATCAGCAGCAGCAGCATCAGCATCAGCATCATCATCCCCCTCATGTCCCGTCTCTTGGACGGGCGCACCCGGCGTGTCGTCTGACCTTATCCTCTGTCCTTCCCCACTCTTGGCGAGCGCGATCCTCCTCCTCGTCCTCCTCCGCCTCCTCCCGAACCGGGGGGGAGGCCGAGAGGAAGCGGCAGTGCGGTATGCTGCGTCGTCGTCGTGTCCTCACCGCCCGCTTCTCGTTGGCAGGCTGGCCGGCCGTGTCGCCATCCGTCCCAGCGGCCACGTGCCGAGCTGGCCGACCGCCCGGGTCGGATGAAGAGGGCGAGTGTGGCGGGGGGGAGGGCGGAGGCAGGAGGAGGAGAGAGAGGAGAAGAGATGAGGGAGGAGGGACAGGACATGGACAACATATTCACACTTTTTCCTCCCTCGGTCCCGGGTTCGCTTGGTCGCTGCTTCGGGCCAGGCAGCGGCAGGGGGGCTGACGGCAAGCACATGCCGCCGCACTGGGTGATCCAGACGCTGGGCGCTGATGGCGTGACGAAGCCAATCACATGGCCCTTGTCCAACCAGCCCCGATCCGAACCCCCCACTTCCTGACGACCAGTCTCCGGAAGCCCCACAAGCCGCCACCCTTCACGCTTCAAGCTTCGAGGATGGCCTGTCTGCCCAAAACCGCCGCTCGACGCAGGAGCGCCTCTGCCGGCGTACCGCGTGACCAGGCTGTGAGTTCTGCCGCGGCCGTCTCGATGTAAATTCTAGCTGTGGCCGCCTGCTGCCACCTGCCGACGACAACCATTTTGTCCAAAGACCCTGTCACGTGCCACAGCCAAGTGGCTCCGCCCCTCCGGAGCCCGTAGGGGGTCACCAAGTCGCCAGACACCCCAAAGAGACTGCACAACCATTTGTAATCATAATCCAAAAGTCATAATTAGGTGATCATGTCGGGCCTCTGTGACAGAGGGGCGTTGTTTGGAGGCCCTCTGTGACAGAGGGGCGGTGTTTGGAGGCCCTCTGTGACAGAGGGGTTCGTCATCCCCCTCCTCCTCATCCTGCTTCTCTAAATCGTATCTACTTTTGCGCTCATCATCTTTGCGTCAGTGCTCCTTGTCGTTGTTCCCATGCGTCCTTTCACGATGCTCACCACATTCTCCTCCCTTGTCTTTTTTACCCCGCCATCTACCTCGTCACCCTCCTTCGTCTGCATTTCCTCCTTCTCTCCCGCCCTTTTTTCCCCCTCTCAGGTTCGACTTCCCGCTCTTCGTCCACTTCGTTATCCCTCTTCCCGCTAATTACCTTCCTGTCAACCTCTCTGCCGTCCAATCACATCGCATCGTCCGTCGCCGCTATGCTCAAACCATCCCGCGCCCGCGGGATTACCCGCGAGCCACGGTGCAGTGGGGCCGCTCGCGGCCGAACGCGCGCTTGCACGATATTCGCGCAATGGGCGATGCTGGCGGAAACACATGGGGTGGCGCGGCAGGCAGGTGGGCCAGCCGCAGCAGCTGCTGGTCTGGCTGGGAGGACGGCCATGATTGGTCAGCGTGGGGCTGGAGAGACTGGCGACAAGACGTAACGGAGGACGCCAAGTGGCGCGATGACCCTGCCGCCGCAGCAGCGGCGGCGGTCGCGCGTGAACGGCCCAATCCCTTCGCCGCGATTGGCGTCGTGAGCCCCCGCGCCCCTGGTCTCGGCAAGCCCGAATTCGATAATTTCGTGCGGGCTGCCCTCCGACATTCACCAGAACCTGGTGATTTTGTTCCAGAAGAGGGGTCGGGATCCCAAGCCGCGCCTGCGGCGCCGGGGCCTTGAGCTTCTGGCTGGGAAAAGTTCGGCGTCGATTATTTCTTGAATTATGAAGAGAGGCTCGGCACTTCGTTCAAGCAACACAACCAAGCGTTGAAACTTTGGCGAAGCATCACAGAAGACAGCAAGGAGCCGTTCGAGTCAAAGGCCAAGTGGTTCGACAATGCGGAGCCCACCATGGCCAAGTAGCAGCGGGCTTCGCAGCGGCGGGGGATTCACAGTAAGCGGCCCCGCAGCAGCGGGGCCCGAAGGAGGAGCGCGTTTAGCATTTCAGCAGGGGCGCGCGCGTCGGCCTGTGAGATCGGGAGAGCGCGCGCAGTCGCTGAGGCGCGATCTTCGTTCTGAAGTCCTCCCTCTCCCCCCCGCCCCCCCCCCCCCCCCCCCCCCCCCCCCTCACCACTCCCTCCGCCGCCCTCCGCCGCCCTGTCCTCGCCGCCCGTTCCTCGTCGCTCCACGCCTGTTCGTTCTCCTCTTATTACCTCTCCCGCTATTTCGCTCTCTCCATCTCATTGCGTTTCTCCACTCCATGGCTTCCCTTTCTCCGCCTTCTTTTTTTTTTTCTCTCTCTCTTCTCTCTCTCTCTCTCTTCTCTCTCTCTCTCTCTCTTTCTCTCTCTCTCTCTCTATCTTCTCTCTCTCCTTCCCTCTCTCTCTCATATATCTCCTCTTCTTTCTGTTTTTCTCCTCCCTCTCTTCC